GTAGACAACATCCACTGCTCTCCCCTCATCTACCCAGCCAGTCATGCCATTGTAGAAAGCTATCAGATTGGTCAAGCATGATTTCCCCTTGGTGAATCCACATTGACTACTCCTGATAATTGTATTTTCCTTCACTTGATTGATGATGACCTCAAGAATGAGCTGCTCCATCATCTTTCCTGGAAAGGAGGTGAGGCTGACTGGCCTATAGTTCCCTGGGTCCTCCTTCTTGTCATTTTTGAAGACTGGAGTGACATTGGCTTTTCTCCAGTCCTCGGGCACCTCTCCTGTCCTCCAGGACCTTTCAAAGATGGTGGAGAATCACTCAGCAACGATGTCCGCCAGCTCCCTCAGCACTCGTGGGTGCATTCCATCGGGCCCCATGGATTTGTGGGAATCCAGATTGCTTAAGTGATCTCTCATGCAGTCCTCCTCGACCAAGGAAAGTTCATCCTTTCTGCAGACTTCCTCTCTTAGCTCCAGGGCCTGGGATTCCTGAGGGCTGGCCTTGGCACTAATGACTGAAGCAAAGAAGGCATTCAGTAACTCTGTCTTCTCTTCATCCTCCGTTACCAGGACACCCACCTCTTTCAGCTGTGGCCCCACATTATCCCTAGTCTTCCATTTGCTGCTGATGTAGTTGAAGAAGCCCTTCTTGTTGTTTTTGACATCCCTTGCCAGATTCAATTCCAGGTGGGCCTTGGCCTTCCTCATTGCATCTCTGCATGCTCTGACCACATTCCTGTATTCCTCCCAAGTGGCCTGTCCCTCTTTCCACATTTCATGGACCTTTCTCTTCCACCTGATCTCCACTAGAAGCTCCTTGCTCATCCATGCAGGTCTGCTGCCTCCCTTTCTAGATTTCTTTCTCAGGGGTATGCACCGCTCCTGAGCATGGAAGAAGTGATGTTTAAACAGCAACCAGCACTCTTGGACCCCCTTGCCTTTGAGAGCCCTGGTCCACAGGATTCCTCCAGGTAGCTCCTTGAAGAGGCCAAAGTTAGCTTTCCTAAGAAGAAAAGGTGGAAGTGATGTCTAAGTATCAGGAGCCCAAGAAGTGGAAGGGGAGGGAATTTCTATTAGGTAATGTCTGAAGTTGCAGGGCTGGGAGGATAGCACAGGGGCAGGCATTGATGAAGGACTGGAGATTCACAAGGAGACCTCAGTGTGTGAAGTGAGTTCAGTGGTACCACGAAGCAGTAATGAAACGCCCCATCTTCTGGTTTCAACGTTATAAAAGGGGCCTCAGTGCTGGGGCTCTTTGCAATGTTGCTGCTGCTGGGGAAGTAGTTGTCAGATTCATTGAACGTTTAGAGTGAAAGAAGATTTCTTGAGAAATCCTGATTAGGCTCTGTATTTTGCACTGTCTATGTAAAAGTTATGTATTTGCATATAGATTAATAGTCATGTAGTTTAGAGAGTGAAGAGCTAGAGTTACAAAGTAATATTAAAATACTTTTTTTAGTTGCCTACAAGTCTCATCCTTCTTGAGAAGAAGAAGTGTTTTGTTTTGTTTTTCTTCACCCTTTTATGTGCGTGGATGTGGACACCTTCTAAGGCTTTCTGCAACAGCAGGTCCTGTGAGGTTAGATGCTTTCTGTCTCTTGCTGACATATTTTTTTAGAGCTTTTTTTCTTATGAGGACCTATTTTCCATATTTTAGGTTACAACATGAGGTTTGGAGAGGATTCTAGTCTGTTTAGGTGCCCCTGAGTGTAAAGAGCTGTTTGAGTCTCTCTCAGTCCTCCAGATGTACGTAACCATATAGCACATAAGCAATTTCGGTTTGCTTATTCAAGTAATCCTCAAAGTA